TCGAACTCCTGAGCTCAAACAATCCGCCCGCCTCGGCCTCCCAGAGAGCTAGGATTACAGGAGTGAGCTACCGCGCCCGGCCCACCTGGCTAATTTTTTAAAAAAAAATTTTTTGTAGAGATGTGGCCTCACTATTGCGCAGGTTGGTCTCAAACTCCTGGGCTCAAGGGATCTTCCTGCATTGGCCTCCCAAAGTGCTAGGATTACAGGCATGAGCCACCCTGCCCAGGCTTGTCATTATTTTGGAGTGTACTCCTTCTAGTTATTATTAATCAAAAAAGTTAACTGTAAAACAGCCTGAGGCAGGTCCTTTAGTAGGTATTCCAGAAGGCATTGTTATCACAGGAGATGACAGCTCCATGCATGTTATTGCCCCTGAAGACCTCCCAGTGGGATAAGATGTGGAGGTGGGGCCGGGCCGCAGTGGCTCACGCCTGTAATCCTAGCTCTCTGGGAGGCCGAGGAGGGCGGATTGTTTGAGCTCAGGAGTTCGAAACCAGCCTGAGCAAGAGCGAGACCCCGTCTCTACTAAAAATAGAAAGAAATTAATTGGACAACTAAAAATACATAGAAAAAATTAGCCGGGCATGGTGGCACATGCCTGTAGTCCCAGCTACTCGGGAGGCTGAGGCAGGAGGATCGCTTGAGCCCAGCGGTTTGAGATTGCTGTGAGCTAGGCTGACACCACGGCACTCTAGCCTGGGTAACAGAGCGAGACTCTGTCTCAAAAAAAAAAAAAAAACATTTAGTAAAGAACTCACATTTCTGAAAAAAGGAGAAGCTTAAAAGAGATGTCAAGAAAGGCCAACTGGTGATATCAGCATTATGCCTGGGGGACATTTTCAAAACACTGCTAAGTAACTTTTTACTACCAAAGGTAGAAAAGGGTAGGGCATGGTGGTTCCTGCCTGTGATCCCAGCACTGTAGAAGGCTGAGGTGGGAGGATTGCTTGAGGCCAGGAGTTTGAGACCAACCTGGGCAACATGGTGAGACCTGCTTTCTACAAAAAATTTTGAAAATTAGCCAGGCATGGTGGTGCACATCTAAAGTCCTAGCTACTCAGGAGGCTGAGGTGGGAGGACTGCTTGAGCTTCTGGGGTTCAAGGCTGCAGTGAGCTATGATTGTGCCACTGCACTCCAGCCTAGGCAACAGAGACCCTGTCTCTTAAAAAAAAAAAAAAAGCCCGTATAGGAACAGGAAAGAGAGCAGATAAATATAGGCAAGACCAGAGGTGAAAAACATCATCATATAAAATTTAGTTCAGTAAAGGATTTCTCTTAAAAAACAAAACCAGAAAGCTATCAGGGCCAAATAAGGAAAACTGGAAACTATTAATATTTCCACAATGAATGGGAAAAACCATTGACTAACGAGTTGAACTTTCATGATAAATAGAAAAGCAGTACTGCTTACATAAGGATTATGTGAAATTAACAGAAATGTCATGGCAGGAAGTGGTTTAGTAATGAATGGTGTTCAAGCATTCATGGTATATAAAATTCTTATCTGTTAATAAGAATGTATAGTGAGTAGAATGGACAAAGAATATGAGTAACCAAAACAATTTTTTATTTTACTTATTTATTTTTATTTTTCATTTTTAGAGATGCAGTCTCACTCTGTCACACAGGCTGGAGTGTAATGGCACCATTATTCCTCACTGCAACCTCCAACTCCTGGGCTCAAGCAACGCTCCTTCCTGAACCTCCCAAAAAAAAAAAAAAAAAAAAGCTAGGACCACAGGCATGCACCACCATGCCCAACCAACTTTTTAAATTTTTTTGTAGAGACACGCTTTCACTATGTTGCCTAGGCTGGTTTTGAACTCTTGGTCTCAAGAAATCCTCCCCCCTCTGCCTCCCAAAATGCTGGGATTACAGATAAGAGCTACTGCACCTGGCCTCAATTTTTTTAAAAAAATAAACTTTTAAAAAAAAGAGATCTTAATCTAATTTTTATTAAAGTTGATTAAATCTATTAGTAAAAGAAAACAATACATGAATCCAAGATAGAGGACAAAGGACTATGGCAATGGTGAAAAACAAAAGGGCATTTGGAAATTTGGAAAAGATCAAATATTTTTAACATTAAGTGGTAAGTGGCTATTTGTCTAAGTGCTTTGTGCTAATTAACTAGTAGCCTCCACTAAGATAAGCTGGTACAAAGCTAAAGTTATTCTCCAACCTATCTCTAAGCCCTTGGAATTTCAGTTTATGAAATAACTGACATCCAATAACTAGAATAGTTAGATAAATCCAGTAAAAAGTTGTTTAAAAGCAATAAGAATGCACATATTTCCCCTACTGAAATTTACTGCTGGCAGTTTCAAAATAAAATCATAAAATAAAGTCCTCTCAAAGCTGAGCCAAAAAATTATTTGGTAGGAAGTAGAAACTTGCTGCATCAGGAGAAAAGATCATTTATTTATATATTTGAATACAGGTACCAACACATGTAATTTCATATGAAATTATATTTCAAAATTTTTTTCACCTGTAAAATTTTAAATACCCAAAGCAAAAGGAAAGGATTTATTTTCAAGAACTGCCTTTCTTTAGAAACTCTCTCAGATGTGTAACAGTTGCTTACTTCTGTGACATATGGACTCAACCAACATCCAAGTCAGGTTCTGCTCTTTGGCAGCCTAAAACGCTATCATGGGATGTGGCTGGCTCCAGAATCTCCTGTTCTTTCACTGCAGAGGTACTTCTAATTCACTTATTAAACCCTGTGCGCCTAAGTTCTAACACAGCTGGCTTTCATAGATAGTATTTTTTAGAGTAAGAATGAAAGGTCAGGACTAAAGGACAGAAATCATTTATTGCAAACATTACAAGGATTTCAATGAACAGCTGAAATTTTATACACCTTTACTCTGCAGTTAATTTTGCAGTTTCTTTACATTTATTTCACCAAATTTCAACTTAATATTTTAGGCAATGAAAAAACTAACCCCTAAAAACATTTCTATCTAATTAAATATCAGCTTGTTATTTATCAGGTTACTTTTAGCTACTGAACTACATAATAAATATGATTTAAGAAACTACAGTTAACCTGGAATTTCACTGCATGATTCATTCTTCTTCTTCTTTTTTTTTTTTTTTAAAGACAGGGTCTTACTGTGTACCCCAGGCTGGACTGCAGTGGCACAATCATAGTTTACTGCAACTTCAAACTCCTGGGCTCAAGTGATCCTCCCACCTCAGCCTCCTGAGTAGCTGGGACTACAGGCGTGCACCACCACACCCAGCTAGGTTTTTTCTGTTGTTGTTGTTTTTAACTGTAGAGAAGGGGGTCTCGAACTCCTTGGCCTCAAGTGATCCTCCCATCTTGGCCTCCCAAAGTACTGAAATTACAGGTGTGAAATTGCCATGTCTGGCCTCATTCATCTTTACCTAAGACGAATCTTTCTCTCTCACCAAATTAGCATCTTGACTTCCCCCATTTGCAGGCAAATTCTAGAACAGTTTAGGAAGTGTATTCTGTTGAATATAGACTATCCATATGCTCTTGTTAAACACAGATTCTGATAAATGCTTTTCAAAGTGGACCTTTTAAAATAAAATTTTTCTATTACTCAATTATTTTTTGGCACAATGTTGCAACCAAACCTGAAATACGATGTAGCCAGAATAACGTGCAATAGGATGAGGATAAATATATTCAAGCACTTAAAAAATATTAAATACCATAGTAACAAGATTTCCAAACCATTGATGGGCGAGTTCATGTCCCACCACCAGAGCAACCCACTGGCGTGATGAAGAACAGGAGTTTTTTGGATCAATAAGCAATGCAGTCTCCCTGTGTTTAAAAAAAAATTGAAACGATAAAAGTACTGCAATAAAAGCAGGCAGGCACAAGTAGGGAAGATTCAGAGAGTAAATGAGATGGTCAAGTTAGGCTGTAGAAATAGCAAGAAAACATTTCCTCAGCATATAAGGACAGAAAAAGTTCCAGGAAGATTAAAGACTACCCCAACAAAATTCATACAACAGATCAAAGATGTGACATAAGTTTAATTACCAGTTTGTCAATATGATAGCTGCCTGAAATTCTGGAAAACCTTTGCATAAGGTGTTAGGGATTATTGTGCTAGAATCAGCAGTCCCCAACCTTTTTAGCACCAGGGACCAGTTTCATGGAAGACAATTTTTCCACAGACTGGCGGGGGGGTGGGAGGGGGATGCTGGCAGCAGAGCCCTGTAGCCCGGTCCCTAACAGGCTGCCATACCAGTCTGAGGCCCCTAGGGTTGGGGATCGAGGTGCTAGATAGACAGAAGACAGTTCTTCCATAACGAAAGGAGTGGCGAAGGAAGATGCATTCCACAGACCCAAAAATGACACTGAGCAGGCTAAAACTTAGCTCATCTAAGAAGGTAATTGAAAGTAGAAGGCAAAAACTTGTTTACAGACTCTGCTTTAACAAATTATACAACCCACACATTTGTATTGTGGTGACAGACATGGAAAAACTTGCTAGAAGATATGAAATCAGGGAAGGTTCTTCAAGCTGGATAAATAACTATGAAACTACTGGGAGGAAGGAAAGGCACCAAAATGAGAAACTCAGCCAAGAATATATCTAAAAATGATACTAATGCCAGATGCTCACTTTAAAATCTTACACCCTCAGATAGTAGCACCAGGGGTGGGGAGGGATCCATCTGCATTCTTGAAATGTGCACGGAAGTGAGAGAAAGTAGAAAAATTTACGCCAGATCATAAAGCAGAAGCTCCTCAACTGCGACTAGGAGTGAAACCCTTATGAATTCAGTGATTGAAAAGATAAGGCAGGGTAATGCATCATTAACATACCTGTAAGTAACAAGGCCCCAGTTCTCCATGGCACCTTCATAAAATAAATATAAACATTCATTGATATATACACATACTTCCTCCTCAAAATCAAAAAATTCAAAAAAAGTTATTACAATTCAGCAATAAAATGAAATTTACTTTACCAGCTGCAAAGTCTGCAATAGCAATGAGATCAATTTTAGGTAGAGGATAAGGAACATTGAAGTAGTCCTTATAAAAAGGCAAGGTTTTAGCAGCAACCTATAAAAGTATAAACAAAAGAACCATCTAAGAAATATTTTAACATAATTCATTCTGAAATCCACAAAGGAATCCTGTTGTAAGCCAAAGTATCTCAAATTACCAGAAACCAATCCTGGGGAGCCCTACCTCCAAAGACTGCCTTAGCTCCAAGCTTTGTATATGATGGCCAAACTTTAATCCATTTATATAACTCGGTATGAAAAATATAATGACATATTTCCCCACCCATTCCCTAGGATAAGTAAATTCCTATATTCTCTTAATCATCATCTTGTAAAATGTTAAATGCAACCCCAAGGTTGCATTCGAAAATTCTATTAAAAAATAAAAACAAAGTAGCACAACTTTCAGATTAAATTATAAATAAGTGTACTAATAATTGATCAGAAATGTAAATTCCCCAACCTGGAGTTATGGACTGTTGGAACAATCCTCTTCAAGTACATTTACCTCTAACGCAAATTTTCCTTGCTCTGCTTTGCCAACAGGGGTGTAAACACGGACACACACACCATCTTTTGACCTTGTTTCTACAAAGTCATATTCACCCACAACAAATGCCACCAGATATGTAGACATTACAGGTGTGCGGGCAAACTTCACTTCCACTAAATTTTCATCATCAGGGTATGGTTTCCGGTCAATTACATTCTTTAAAAAAAAAAAAAAAAAGAAAGAAAGAAAATTTAAACATTGATTTTAATACCTTAGAGTAAACACTAGCCAAAAACTGTAGGCTTACTCCTCTATCCTAATTCATCCAGTGCTTTTACACTGTCAGGATCTTTCCTCTTAAGAAGGAAAATGATATGATAAAGCACTAATACTAAAAAGTTGGGGGCTAAACTATTAAAACTACCAAGGACTTGTAGGAGAAAAAAGGAATCAACTTTTCTCGAATATTTATTTTATGCCAGACATTGGGATGTTTTAAATAAGACCTCAACACTTTTCAATTGAAGTAAGGATAGGAGAAAATGATTATTAATAAAAATAAAATGTGGAATCTCTTATTTCAAGGAGTATGAATTTCTAGATCTAGAGCATTTTCTGTACCAAGGCTGGCTCTAAGCAAATTTGTGAAGAAATTTCCACTTTACCTTTAGAATCCCTAATTTCCCTTTGGTGTTCTCCCTCTTTTTCCTATTCGGGCTCTCAGTTTCCTCAAGCTGTCTATTCTTTCTTCCAAGGAAGACTTATTCAAGAACAAACCTGATAAATTCATTATACTAAAATGTAAATGAATATTTCACTTTAATATATTAGCCTCTTCTGTAAGAATATGTGAGAAGAGAATGACATTCTACTTATGGAATTCTTTCCACCAGTAAGTAGGCAAAAAAGTTATTTTCAGGTGCAATAGCTTTCCCAAGTTCCCCAGAGTCTAACAGGCTCTTAAACAAGGTGGTCCTAGACAATACACTTCAAGTGGTGAATGTTTACTCTATTTATGAATGAGATCAATGACATTACTGAAAAGAGCATATTCCAAGAATACAATTGGCCAAAAACCTAAATGTACTTCACTATGTGGCTATATCTTTTAACATTTAATAAGAAAGTCAAAACCTTTTTATTTCAGGTAGTATCTAGTAAACTTGTCACTTATTTACATCTCCAAATTAAAGGTAATCTTTTAATGTATTTAACAAGGAATTTCTTCCATGAGGATGAAAACCCTCCAAAAATAATGTAATTAAGAAAAAGAGGGCATACTGAAAATAAAAAAAAATAATATTTATGTTTCTATAATATATGTCATCCCATCTAATCAGCAAACTAAATATGCTAAGTCTATCAAAAATTTAAATAGACTTATAAACACATACATACCATGTTTGATAAAGCTACTCTGTCTTTAGGAACAACCAATGAGATATCAAAAGTTGCTTTGATGGCAGGCTCATCCCAGCAAGGAAAAGCCCTCCGGGCATCAGTAGCCTTAAGAAAAGAATGTGAGATATAAATACCACTGACTACAAAGAAAACACAATGCTTACTACTATTGCCATACCAGCAATTATCTGGAAAATAGGTCTGCTATGGATCTTAACAATATAGTATAATCATTTACAATTATATTTTTTGTCTTTAATAAAACATTTTAACATTTCAAATTTAATGCAAATAGCTTCATCAAAATGTTAACACAGCCGGACGTGGTGGCTCACGCCTGTAATCCTAGCACTCTGGGAGGCCGAGGCAGGAGGATTGCTTGAGCTCAGGAGTTTGAGACCAGCCTGAGCAAGAGCCAGACACCGTCTCTTCTGTAAATAGAAAGAAATTAGCCAAACAACTAAAAATAGAAAAAATTAGCCTGGCAAAGTGGCACGTGCCTGTAGTCCCAGCTACTCGGGAGGCTGAGGCAGTAGGATTGCTTGAGCCCAGGAGTTTGAGGTTGCTGTGAGCTAGGTTGACGCCACGGCACTCTAGCCCAGGCAACAGAGTGAGACTCTGTCTAAAAAAAAAAAAAAAAAAAAAAATGTAAAATATGCTCTGAAACAACATATATTAAATTTATGATGGTGGCTCTCTGGTGCAGGTTGGTTGGAAGAGAGATATAAAGGAGACTTCAATTTGATCTGTAATATTCTAAATATCATTTTCTAAAATAAGTATGGTTAAATTTTAATTCTGAGTGTCAGGTACAAAGGTCTTTGTTATTTTTTCATGTAATTATATTTAAATTTTTTTTCCATATGGAGGTTTTTTTTTTTTTTTTGAGACAGAGTCTAACTCTGTTGCCTGGGCTAGAGTGCCGTGGCGTCAGCCTAGCTCACAGCAACCTCAAACTCCTGGGCTCAAGCGATCCTCCTGCCTCAGCCTCCCGAGCAGCTGGGACTACAGGCATGCGCCACCATGCCCGACTAATTTTTTCTGTATGTTTTTAGTTGTCCAATTAATTTCTTTCTATTTTTAGTAGAGACGGGGTCTTGCTCTTGCTCAGGCTGGTTTCGAACTCCTGAGCTCAAACAATCCGTCCGCCTCGGCTTCCCAGAGAGCTAGGATTACAGGCGATGTGCTTTGTTCTTTATCTGGAATGGCAGCAATGCGAATAAAGACAGATGCTCTATCATTTCAAAACAGGCCATTCGTTTAATGGCATTTCCATATACTACACATAAAACTGTCACCACTTGACCTACTTAGAGAGATCTCATTCTTTCACTAAAAATTAAAAAAGAGCAAATTTAGTCCCCTTCCCCCACCCCGGGAGGTATTTTCCATTCCAGTGGGGGTTGGGGAGAGGGGGGCTTTAAAAAAAAAGAGCAAATTTATTAAAGCAAAATAAAATTTAGTGATTCTGCAGGATATCAGTTATAAAAGAAAGAAACTCTGGCAAACAGAACAAATCATAAAATGGAACAAATAACAAGATTCTGTATCATGAAAAGAAATAACAAAATACAAAGAAGTAGAGGAAGCATATACCTCTAAAAAAGGTTTTTTACAAGGAAAAAGACATTAGATGGCTGACTGTATTTTCAAAAAAGTTAAATAAACCGTGAATTCTATCAACGAATAAATAAAACATTTGAAAAGAAAGTGTAAAGAAAGAAATGGTAGCACAGAAACATTCAAATTAGAAGTAGCAGCAGTAGAAAAATGAACTGATACTAGAGGAAATTAAACAAATGACATGAATAATAAGATTTAAGGGCTGGGCACGGTGGCTCACGCCTATAATTCCAGCACTTTGGGAGGCCAAGGTAGGAGGATCGCTTGAGGCCAGGAGTTTGAGACCAGCCTGGGCAACATAGTGAGACCCTGTTTCTACAAAAAATTAAAATTAAAAAATTAGCCAGTCATGGTGGTGCACGCCTATAGTCCCAGCTACCAGGGAGGCAGAGGCAGGAGGGATCCCCTGAGCCTGGGAGTGCAAGGCTGCAGTGAGCTATGATCGAGCCACTCCACTCTAGCCTGGGTGACAGAGTGAGACCCTAACTATAAAAAGAGGAAATCAACAAAAACCCACAACATTTAAAAGTTTTTAAAATGTTCAAAGGACAAAATGATGAAAGCGATGAAAGACACATTTTAGGGATAGCTATTAGAGTTAAACCTATTATTAACTGATGTTTTAGAAGAAGAGATGAGAACAGATGCAACAATGAAGATGTAATAGAGGAAACTTTTGCCACACAGAAGATCTGAATCTGAAAATCAATGAGGTTCACCAAGTACTAGGCGAAATTAATAAAAAGTGAATAACTCGTAAAAAATTTTTAATTTTCAGTGTCAAGAAATAATTAAACAAGCATAAAGAAAACAAAGCTAAAAAAAAATCTTACCTACGAAGGGAGAAGAAATATTTCAGTTTGTGACTCCTCCTCTTGACAAATTGAGATGTACAAGATTTTAGTTGCCCAGCTAATTTTTTTCTATTTTTAGTAGAGGCGGGGTCTTGCTCTTGCTCAGGCTGATCCTCCCACCTTGGCCTCCTAGAGTGCTAGGATTACAGGCGTGAGCCACCCTGCCCAGCCTTGATATGCAAGACTTTAAACAATATTTATAGACTTTTAAAGGGAAAAATTATAAGCCAATTGTAAGCCAACCTCTTATGGTTGAACAAGCTGGGCTTATTACTTCTTGCTGCAAGGGAAAGCTCACATTGTAGGGAACCATGGGATGTCTCTACAACAGTGTAAGAAAGAACCTACTATCTGGCCAGGCGCGGTGGCTCATGCCTGTAATCCTAGCACTCTGGGAGGCCGAGGCAGGAGGATC